ATACTTTGGGTTGCAAAAGGAACTAACATGTGATTGTGGTGACTTCTTTGTGTTCTTTCCTGTTTTGCCCATGACTTTACGTTTTACTTGCGTAAGCTGGTCTCCAATCTGTTTGATGATGCAACTTTTACCCGATGTGATGAACACAAGATTGGCAGCTTGGCTTAAAGTTTTAGCAAGGGCGTCACGGTTGTGCTTCGCACCTCTCATACCTTTGGCAGGCCATAAGGTGTATTGGAAAAGGTGTTCAATGGCTTCTCTCAGCGCTGAGCCATGCTCTTGGGATGTTGCCATTATCCTTAAGTTGTCTAGAGAGGATGTTTGTAGTGGATTTCCCAGATCATCTTTCAGGTTCAAAATGTTGAACTCCAAGACAAGCACATGGGGTTGCGGTAGCTGAGAATTGTGGAACAGGTACTGTTCCACAAGAGGAGCCAAGATTAACCCATTCAGACATGTGGATTTGGCTGTGTTCTTCTTGTTGACGCTACTATCAAGAATGCTTGCGCATTCACCACCAGGCAATTGAGATGCTGACATTACTGCGGGGGCAATTCTGTGGTTGAGGAATCTTTACAGGGTTCGAAAGAAGAAACATTGAGATGGGATGGTTGTTGTATTATTGTGCAAACGCGGGTGTGATCCAAGGATATGATGCATTCTATAACCACATGATGAGATGCTCAACGGACGAAAGGAATCAGCTTGTAATGTAATCAAAATGATAGTACTAAGAAATGGTGAATAAAATTGTTGTAGTATACTATACTATATACTAGTAGTTTGGTTTCTAGCCAAATAATCTTACAAGTTTGTTCATGGACATGTACGCCTTGACAACTGTTTCTTGAGCCTCATAGTATTCCCCATCAGGAAATTGTTCATCTGAATGGTAAGGATTGTCATTTGTTTTGGACTTGCAACGCCTTCTTCTTGACTTGCTTTGCATTGAACATATCCACACTTGAAATTGTCGGATGACTTAGAATTGTCGGATAACATAGATTGGCAACAATTCCTGTCTTGGAAGCTACCTTATTTGCCAAATAGGCTACCGTTGTCTCTTTCTGTTTCATCAAGACGGCTTCTTCTTCCTTCGATTGCTCCTCCCTCCTTTGTCTGTTCCTTTTCTTTATTCCTATCCTCCTTTTCCTTCTTCTTCTCGGCGGCGCTTTTTCTTCGCACTTCATCCTGTTCTTCCATTAATTTCACCTTCTTCTTCTTGCTTAGCACTACAACTTCTGGCAAAAGGAAGGAGTTCCGCTTTCTCTCTTTTGTTGTGTTGCCAGATTGCTATCATGGAGACTTTATTTTGGAGCCATCTATTGATTAATTGGATTGTTATTTTGCGAGTTTACCGATGGAAAGAAAAGGGTAGTGCTAGATACCAGAAGAACAAGGAGGTTAGCTAGATTTCAAAAGTGCTGTTTTTTCGTTTGTTCAAGCCAACATTGCTTTTTCGTTTGTTCAAACCAACATTGCCACAAGTGTTATCGTCCTTGCTATGGGAGGCTGGAATGTCTAGAGCAAGAATTGACATGGCATTTGTCATGATAAACTAGTGAAAAGAGCAGCAGAAGATTTTTTGTTACCCAAGATTGCCAAAAACGCTGAAATCCACAATAGTATGTTAATTAAAAAAATGTTTTCCCAAGACATTGGCCAATTGTCAGTCACATCGCTGATCAATCATCACTTTCCAAACAGAAAGCTTAGAACCAGCTACTGCATGTCAGAGAAAGCAATAATGGAACCAGAATGAAGTTCAAAGACAAGAACAATGTAAAACTGTCTCCAGGCAATGACTTTAGGGATTGTAATGGCTAATGGATGATAGAAGCGTTTCATTGTGTCAATTCTTAAACACCCAAGTCAAGAAACAGACCTTGGCATCTCAGTCCAGTCCAAATTTTGGATAATGCTCCATTGCAATGACTCATTACAGATCCATGTGATAAGATGTGATCAAGTTCCATACTGCCGTTGAACATTCTACAATCAGCAAAGACCTAGGAAAGGTGAGAATTGATGGATGCCTTATCACATTTTCAACTCATCTTTGAATTCAATTTCACTTGCCATAAAATTTTGATCGATCATCATCCTTACAATGTGCTTCCACCATATAGGTCCAATATAATGATTGTTCCCATCAACCAATACATACTGGTGAGCGATTGGGTCATGGCAGAAGCATTTCTGATGAGTAGTGGTGAGCGATGGGAGTATGGCGCAGGCAATGCTGATGTGTAGAACTTGAATTGATGGACAAGTGGTGAGTTCCAGCTGATGTTTGTTTTGTAGTTTCCATCAATCTTCATGCTTACCATGTGCCTCCGCTATAGAGGTCCAACATGATCATTGTTCCAATCAACAAATCTATATTGGTGACCGATTGGATTATGGTCAAGGCAATTCTTGTGAGTAGAACTTGAATCTATGGACAAGTTGGTGAGTCTCTGTTTATGGGTTGATTTTTGTTTTCCATTGCTCTGTGCTTATCATATGATTCTCTAATATAGTACCACTACTATGATTACTCAAATGGTCTCATGGATAATGGTGAGCGGTTGGTTCGTGATTGATTATCATTTTCAGTGGATGTTTGTTTTCTTTTTTGTTGGCTTGTCATGCATTCTATGTGCTTCCACACTCTGGATCAAATATATTGACTAGTGCAATGAATACCCAGAGACATTGAGTGATTGAGATATGATGGAGGGAAGTAAATCTAATGAGTAGAACTGAAATTGTTGGACAAGCTTAGGAGTTCCAGCTGATGCTTCTTTGTGGTCAAAGATTTTGTTCGACTGCCATGCTTACCTATTCTTCCTCCATGGTATAGGTCAAATAGAATTATTGCCCCAATGGATAGACAAGCAACAGTGAGGGATTGGTCATCACCTGGGCAACTCTGATTAGTGGAACTGGAATTCACCCACAGGTTTGCATGTTCCAGTTGATGGTCTTGTGGATACAATCATGGTTCTTATGCTTCCACCATATAGGTCCAATGTAATGATTGCTTCATTCAGTAAAGGTAGAATAGCAAATGACTAATCACAACGAAGTCCAACACACTTCCCTGTTGTTTGCACAAACCTTCAGCTGCACACTTCATCGACAAACACTTTAGCCATATGCTTCCATATTTAACGCCACATCTGCCTTTGGGATTGGGACATGGGCATTTATCTCCACAATCTTGATGCATGGCCAGGTCACATACTTACCTTCTACTTCTGCAGTACAGGGCCACAACAAGCATTGGCCCAATTCATTGATGCACTAGTGGGAACGTTTATGTCAAGGTTGAGGCATATCTGATGGGTGGAACTGCAATTGATGGACAGGTTTGTAAATTTTCAACTGATGCTCGTTTTCCATTTACTACTGATCATCATGCTTACCATCTACTTCTGCAGTACAGGGCCACTACAATCATTTTCTCAATTCATTGATGCACTAGTGGGAACGTTTATGTCAAGGTTGAGGCATATCTGATGGGTGGAGCTGCAATTGATGGACAGGTCTGTAAATTTTCAACTGATGCTCGTTTTCCATTTACTATTGATCGTCATGCTTACCATCTACTTCTGCAGTACAGGGCCACTACAATCATAGGCCCAATTCACTGATGCACTAGTGGGAGCGATTGGGCCATGGTTGAGGCATATCTGATGGGTGGAACTGCAATTGATGGACAGGTTTGTAAATTTTCAACTGATGCTTGTTCTCCATTTACTATTGATCGTCATGCTTACCATCTGCTTCTGCAGTACAGGGCCACTACAATCATTGGCCCAATTCATTGATGCACTAGTGGGAACGGTTATGTCAAGGTTAAGACATATCTGATGGGTGTAACTGCAATTGATGGACAGGTTTGTAAATTTTCAACTGATGCTCGTTTCCACTTACTGTTGATTGTCATGCTTACAATCTGCCTCTGCAGTACAGGGCCAAGAGGGAGCGATTGAGTCTTGGTTGAGGCAATCGGATGATTAGTTAGTGGCTTCACAGGAGTGTAGGTCCAGAATGAAAATGGTTACAACGGTTTAGTACTTCATGCAATTGATTTGTTAATGTATGGAATAAGCCATCAACGCCAACACCAACATTGCCATCACCATGTTGTCAAATCATAGTAGCGCATTTGTTTAGACTAGCCTTGTTTTCAAAGCTCATGCAAATATTTATTAAATGAAACAAATTGCTTAGCAGAGCAAAGACATACCGCTCTGTCACCATACAATAGTTGAGATATGTATTATAACTAGTCGTGAGGTCTCTGGATACCTTTGGGATATAGTTGCCAACTCCTTTCTAGAAAGAATATTGGATTCAGCTTTCAACTCAACTATCTTTGGATTTGAGACCCTCAGTGGACATGTCAGGTGAAAAGGAGAAGCAAACAGGAACGGTTCAACAATCACAGCCTGATTGCATCATGATTGAGTCAGTTGAGGCCTCATTCGGACATCAATTACAGCACTGGCAGTATCAAATACATCAATGAGGCTTTTCATAGCATAGGATGACTCAACATTCTCTTTTTTTGTGAGGTGTATGCCATGCATCTCTTCTGTTTTTGACGACAATTTTGTAGCTTGACCGATTGATTCTATGAAATTTTGTTGAGGAGGACAACATTTGATAGCAAGCACTTGCTGGCAAATTGTTATTTTGCCTTTTCTTACTGGTGAATTGTTGCTTTGCTCTGAATTTGATTGCTGGGCTTTGGCCCCTTGGCTATACCTTGAGTTGTTTCCTCCAGCGTCGTCATTTCTTGTTGAACCATTTGTCAAACTCTTGATTTGTCTGGATGCGTCGGCAACCTTCTATTGTCACTTGTATTTCTTCTGTGGACAACTCTTGAAGAGATGAGGTTGATTGGTGCTATCTGTATCTCCATCTGTCATCCCAGTAATCTGAAGCAAAGTATGATAAAGAGTACTTACAGCATCCATAGTATGGAGGCTGTCTCTGTCCCATGCATTGCACCCTACATTCTCTCCAAACATAGCTGTAGAAACCATAACACGGTCTATGTCCTTGTTGTATGTAGTTTGAGTGAGCGAAGTCCAATCTTTGCCTTCTTGTCAGGCGTAGCACAATGGCATACACTGGGTTGGTACTTTTTGATCGCGTTCAGGTAGATTGTAGTCTTCTGCTGTTGGAACTTGACCATAGTTTCATAGTGCAATTCTTGATCTGGACGTGGGAGGTGCAGTTCCAGGCCTTGAAGGCTTGAGAATAAGCAGGGCACGGGACGTTGATTGACCGGAAGTCTATTGCCATGCATTTTGAGAAACAGGCGGAACAAACAGTGAGATTCTTGCCCGCCACTACGATAGGTATGACAAAAAAGTACACAATGCTGTTGAATTGGAGGAGGCAATTGCCTTCCAAACAAATGAACAACAAGGGGAGACAAATTGTATTGACAACAGCCATGCGAGTTGCATTGATGCTTTGGTTGAACACTTCACATACAACAGGGAAGTTCTCCAGAAGAATTTTGCGGATCATAGATCTTTTTCTTAAAATACTGGCTTCCTACTAAAATTCTTTGTTTACTAATCCAAATTGTTTTCACTACTAAGTTTTAACTGATCCAAATTGTTGTCGTTGGGAGTGTCAGTAGGAGTAGATAGAGCAGTAGCACCACAAATATCCATGCTGGGACTAATAGCAATAGAAGCACTCTGGTTACTATTTGGATTCTCAACATGGATAACAAAATCAACAGGCTCTGGCGTCGGATCAACTTCAGCAGCCTCAAGCAAATTGGCAGAGATCTGAACAAGCCGGGAACGCAATTTACCCTGAGGTGGAATGGAGCTTTTGAATCTTTGGTAGCAGTCTGTCTGGACATTTGTTGGACAAATGGTCCTTGTTGCCACATACATAACATGCTGCCATTTTCTTTTCATCCTTTGGTTTACCTTTACCTTTATCTGTACCTTGTTTGTTTCAAAGTATGCTGCTCTGTTCATATGATTGGTTAGTTCTGCAGAATAGATAATCTTGTTTTGAGTCATCTCTGTTTCTGTTGCAACAACTTCCGTTTGATCTAGAGCATCCAACTCTGGTGTGATTGAATCAAAGTTGATTGACTTTCCATCTTGAATCATTTTTACCATGTCTTCTGAACACTTCATTCCAGAAGCTTGGAAATAGTCAATCAGTCTTTTCTAGGCATCTTACTTTGTTTTCTTGTGTTGAGAGCACTCTGAGCTTCCCTTTGGTCATCCCAAAGACTCTCTACACAGTTTTATAACTACTACAAATTAATCATTCATCTTTCGAACAACATGTGCCCATTACTCCTCAGTTTATTAGACAAGATTGAAAACAATCCTGAAATCAGCAATGTTACAATTTGTTGTCCCTTTATTTTCAAATCCATGACATGACTGGACATGTCATTCTGATTCATCTATAAACAAACCAAATTCAGTGCAATTTGGACATATTTGAAGTTCCTGCTGGGATTCTGTACATTTTGGGTGTAAATTGTTTACACCAAAATTGTATTATGCAGAAAAGTAAAAAACAGCAGTGGAGGTATATATAATATAGCAGAGCTACTTCATTGGTACTGGCAGTGCCCGGTAGACACATTCAATTCATAGTTTATGATAGACGTGGGTGAACCATATTATGGTCGATCTGGGCTACCACTTGCTTGGTTGTCGCAAACGTTTTGTGCTGACTCCGTATTCTTGCTAAACCAAGCAATGAGTTCACCAATATTGCATTCATCGAGCCGATCGTCGCTTATGTTAAAAAAATATCTGCTCATCATCCGAAGGGAATGAATATCATGTTCCTTAGCCATTTGCTTTCCCGCCACTGCGTCTGGGTGTCGAAAAGCAACAAAGTCAATGTAGTTGTAGCCCATGACATATGTTTCGCCTTTTCCAAGTACCTCTCTTGTGAGGTCAAAGTCTATCAAATATCCTTTGTCATTGCATCCTTCGTCATTGGTAAATATCACGTTACGAGGTAGCAGATCCCCATGAACAAAATTTTGGCCATGCATCGCCTGTACCTGTGTCAATATCTGTACCCATCCATCTTTGT